TTTTCTAAGGTTTTTATGGTTTCCAGTCTAACATTTAAATCTTTAATCCATTTTGAGTTTATTCTTGGGTATGGTGTAAGAAGGTGGTTTAGTTTCATTTTTTGCACATATCTGTCCATTTTTTCCAACACCATTTATTGACTAGACTATCTTTATCCCTATGTATGTCTTATCTTTTAAAAAGTAGTGATTTGATCTTACTTGACAGACATTTTGAAAGACAAATTATAATACAAATGCTTACCATTGATAATACATCTTTACTTATTTACTTATTGAAAGACAAAGTATTATCATAACAGCCACTAATCAGAAGAAAATGCAATGCATTATTTTTAAAGTCAATTCCAAAGGTTATACAAAATCTGGAAATACACAAATTTTAATGTGATTGTACTTTAATGTTTTATTATGATGTTTAATGAGTAAAATTTTATTTTAAGTGATTCAATTTATTAATAGTACTTGTGAAATATGTAATCAATTATTTAAAATGTAGTGATTCACTTAATTTGGAGAATAATTGTAAAATGTATAATTTAGCAATCACTGCAAGGAAATTGAAAATTCCTGTGATTGATTTTAAAGTGTAAACATTGAAAAATATTTAATGATTAATTATAAAGATTGTGATGACTCAGAGGGTCATGAAAAGGAGCCCTTATTATTATGAAATTAAATTGAAAATAAATAAGGAAATATAATTTTACAACTGAATATAGCAAAAACACCTACAAATTTGATGAATAAAATGTGTACATTTAAATTAAAATTCTAATTATTAAACATAACACTTTACATATGACAATCAAAATAGGTTCATATTTTAAATTGAGTCTCTTCATATTCTGAAGCAACCTGCTAAAACAGCAAACACAATGCTCATATAGTAGACCTAGTAAGGAAAGTGGGTCCTCCTTATTTGCAATACTTTGTAAGGCAAAATAATGGAATTTATTTTTCCTATAAATAAATTTCTCCTATTATTTTTTTTATTTTTTTATTTGTGGTCAAAAGTTTATTTTTTGGATAGAGTAAAAAATAAGTTGTTAATTTAGAGTATACGTGGTCTGAAATTTCTGAAATATAATCTCTAAACTTTCAATAGAAAGACCCCTAACTGTGGCTATCCCAACACAGATGTTTTGTTCCAAGTTATAAGGCCAATAATTTGCAGCAAAGGTGATCTATGATTGCTGCAAATGGATTGTTGTAGAATCGATACCCTTAACCTGTAAACTTCCTAAGTTACCTACAATTTATTTGGCTTCATTCCTGACTTTTCTATCCAAGAATATAAAGAAATAGACTCTAAGCTTCCTCAAGTGTGATGCGAGGGGCTCAGTATCTTACTCATCTCCGATGTTTCACTTAACAATATGTGATGGCTGCTGAGATGCTGCAATGAAAAATTCATTGGAGCTTTGGATTTTTTACAAAGGGAAGATCAAAGTAAGGCATACAACCTTAAGTTTATCAGTCTTTTAACATGACACATTTAAGAGTATGAACTAATTATTGCTCACTTCATGGCAGAAAGTGTAATGAATTTAGGCAGGTGAGAAGGGCAGGAGTAAAGTAGGCCAGGTGTATGGAGGCAATGGGTGAGGAGAATTGAATTTGAAGAGAGATCAGAGCGAACCCGCATTTGAAACTGTAGGGTGCAAAGGCGCTCTGCAAAGTGAAAGGTGACCACCAAAGAAAAACTTGCCCGAACAGGATTTCACAGATTAAATACAAAGATAGGTATCTTCTTTGTGTGTCAGGGCGTTGTTTTATAAACTGCTATATTCTTTATGATCTATATGGTGCAGGAGGAAAAAAAGTTATCTAAAATGTTTTTACTTATTTGTATAGTCCTCTGCCCTGTGATTCTAATTTGAATTTTAGTGTAATTTCAACATAGTTTTATGGTTTAATAAAACTTGCACACATTAAAATGCTATTAAACTGTTACACGTGGTTAATAATACTGATAGACTTCTGAGAGCAGTTATTATTAAAACTGAACAAAGTCGTTAATATGTTTAATCTTTGAACCAGAATATAAAATACAAAACAGATGCTTAACTGCAACTGGAGAATAGTCATATCTGACTATATGCTTCTTCTCTTTTTAACATATTTATATATTCCCGTTAAATTTTGTATTTTAAATAGAAAGTATTCAAATGAAAATAAAAGAGCAATGCATTGGATTCTAATATTGATCTGCACACTGATCATGACTTTTTGGGCAGGTGACAGAGTACAAGCCTCCTTAGGCCTTTGTTTCTTCATCTGTGCAATAACTAGATTACTAGGGGTGATCTCTGTAATCTAGCTCAGCCCCCAAATTTTATGAGTCAAAGAAACATTGACTAGAGTTTAAGACTAGAAATGCAATAAGAAGATTCTGTGTCTTCTGAACAAAATAAGATTTTCATTAATTTTAAGCAACAAATATGGTCTGTATACACCCCACAGGCTGGATGTTCCCCACCCCTGGTCTAACCACTATGCTGTACACCTGAAACCAATACAAAAGAATATTGGAAGTAAACTGTAATTTAAAAAAAAATTAAGTAAATTATGGTAATAGAATTACTTGAATATTGTAATTAATCCTTTCTTTTTTTTCAAAATAAAAAAAAACACACAGAAAACCTTGCTTTCAACCTGTAATTGGGATATTATTTGGGTTTCTTTCCAAATTGCAATTCTTTGATCCCAAATACTAAATACCTGTTGCCTCTCATTGCAGCTTTCTAAAATTTAATTTAATTTTTTAAATTTTAAAAAAATATATCTTTACTGACTTCAGAGAGAGGAAAGGAAAGGGAGAGAGAGAGATAGAAACACCAATGATGAAAGAGAGTCATTGATCGAGCCCACGACCCGGGCATGTTCCCTGACCGGGAATCAAACCCCGATTGCCTGGATCCTGGGTCGAAGCTCAACCGCTGAGCCATGCCCAGCCAGGCTCCTTGCAGCTTTTTAACTTTAGGTAAATACATGTTTTTAAGAGTAGGATTTTCTTTTTGATTCAATTGTAAAGCAAAATAGGGATCAAAACAATATGTTTGATATAATTTTTTCAATAAGCAATTATTTCATTATTGTTTAAACAAATATATCACAGATTAATCCTTGACCCACACAAAAACATAATGATTTTACTTGCAAATCTTTCCCTGCCATGAAATGAGTTTTCTTTTGTAAATAAGCTGTCTGAGGACTGTGCTAACTTGTCATCAACTCTGAAGGCTCCTCACTCACTGTGTAAGTCCCCTAGAAACTGAACCTCCCAAGGCACTTACCATTCAGACTTTCAGGGACTTTTGGGAGCATTGAATCAGCAGTGAAAATTTTGAAGACAGATGGCTCTTATTTAAATGAAATTTGAATAACCATGTAGCAGTAATGAGTGTCTATGCTGGTCCCTGGGAGATATTCCAGGAAAGGAAACAGGCATCTCAGTTTGAATTCTATTGACTTCATGCTTTAGGAAAGGTCAGACTAACTATCTCGTGGGCAACAACCCCTAAAAGAACATTCTATAGAGTAGCTTTCATTTGATTTAACAAATACTATCTAGGTTGAAAAAACATACATTTTAGTTTTAGGTTCACTTATTTTTTTTTATTCATGGGTTTCCATAAATAAAATCTTGATTTATTACATTGTATCTACTGTGAAGAAATGCCCAATTTGCTATTACTGACTTAATCCAGGCACTGATTAATCATAGGGTTCCTCGCAGTGGTCAAGTGATCATTTTTGTCATTTTATTTTACGTAATTGCTATTGCTATTAGAAACATGTTTACTTTTTATACTTTATCAAACCACCAGAGTAAAATAAGCAAAAATCCATGCTTAAAAATATAAAATACAAGAAAGATCACACACACACACACACATGCACGCACATATATACTTTACAAATGAAATGGGACATTAGGCATATGTAACAAAGGATAATAATTGTGTCATAATAATACATAGCCTGCATGGGCTAAATAAAAAGATATAATCTTGGGTTTATGTGAAATTAGCATCCATGCATGTCTTACTATAAAGATATATGCCCCAAATAAAATACCACACAAACGAAAATAAAAAAAAGACAAAAACATTACATAGATGAACAAAGAAAATATAGTTGAAGCAGTATTGACTATACAGCAGAACACATTAATAATTTAAAGACAAACACAGGGTAAAATATATGATAGAAATAATAGATATACTTTACTATTAAATAATGTACCAAATTATGACCTTTCAGTGATTTAAGATATTTTGACAGAAACACAATTATCCACAGATTTTAACTTAAAAACAGCCTCTCACAAATCACACTATAATAGAGAAAAAAAAGTAAAGTGTTTGGTGTTTTTCTACTTAATACCCAGGTTCAATTAATATTTTACAAATTGAACAGATAATGGCTAAGTTTTCTCAAATGATCAACCAATTATATGTTACATAATTATAAACAATAAAAGTAATGAAAATTCATCTCCTAAGAATTAAAAAAAAATCTACCTTAAATAATAATTGATTAAAAAGTACAGTGACTGGTTAATTTGTTTTTATAAATCTTAATAAATAATTTTATTTGTTTTCAAGCTCTTAAAAGTACAGTATAGCAGTAAGAGAAGAGAATATCTGGTTAAGAAGTAAAACATAAATGTGAACTATTTGTAAATCATTTATGCGGTGAATAATTAGGAAAATGAATAAGAACCCGATTTGGGGAAGGAAGGGAGACATGAAACAATTATAAAATATGGGATGATTAAATTCAGAAGTCATACATGGGATTGATATGTATATATGATATTTGGAAAAAATATCAGCACTGCTTTCTTAGAATTATTGATTTTAAATCTGTGATTACATTTTAAGATGAAAACTTACCTTAAAACTTAGTACCTTCAGAGTGCATTACTAGAGGGATGTTCATAAGCTTTTCTAAATATATATTTAGTTAATTGTAGATAAATAAACACTAACCTGTAGAAATAAGTGCGCCCAGATTCATCAACACAGATCCCTTCATTAAGACAGAGGTCCATATTCAGTCCACGCTCAGCACAACTTATCTCACAATATACACCAGAGTATCCACTTGGACAAATGCAAGTAAAACCATCGTCTGACTTCTGACAGAAGCTTTCATTCATGCAAGGGATTAATATGCAGTCCTAAATTAAGAAATAGAGAATCTATTTGATTATTAGTGGTAAGAGTAATAATTTCATTGAAATTTTATATTTAAATATTTTTTTAAAAATTCAATATGAAAGCTTATCTGATATTTCCTTCCTCTAGTAACTAAAATATGTTTCTAGTAATAAAAGGTATTCACCTTTATCACCAGAAATACTCTGCCAAATGTTTTATTGTTGAATTTTGCGGGGAAAATCCTTTATTAAACTTTATGTAATCATGTACCATTTACCAGGCTCTCCCTATTTTTTTCCCACCCTGTATCACCTGGCAATCATCATTCTACCTCTGTTTCTATGAGTTTAACTTTTTTTCTTTAATACCCCACATATGAATGATACCATGTAGCACTTGTCTTTCAGTCTGGCTTATTTTACTTAGCATAACACTCTCCAGGTTTATTAATGTCACAAATGGCAAGATTTCCTCCTTTTTTTAAGACTGAATCATATTTTATTGTACATATAGATACTACATTTTCTTTACACAATCATCTGTCAATAGAGACTTAGGTTGTTTCCATATCTTGGCTGTTGTGAATAATGCTGCAATAAACACGAGACTCCAGATATCTCTTTGAGATAATGGTTTCATTTTCTTTGACTATACACCCAGAAGTGTGGTTGCTGAATCACATGGCAGTTGTATTTTTAATTTCTTGAACAGAGGAACATTTGTACTGTTTTTTAATAGTGGCTGTACCAGTTTACATTCCCACCAATAGCATATAGGGGTTCCTTCATCAACATTTCCTTGCTAGCATTTATTGACTCTTGTAGTTTTGATAATAAACATCTTAACAACTGTGAAGTAATATATCGTTATTTGGTTTTGATCCGCTGCTCCCTGATGATGAATGATGTTGAGCACCTTTTTATATATTGTTGCCATTTGTATGGCTTCTTTGAAGAAATGTTAATGCAAGTCCTTTGCCCATTTTCTAATTGGGTTATTTGTTTTTTTGCTGTTGAGTTTCATGAGTTCCTTATATATTTTGGATATTAACCCTTTATCAGATAGGTGGTATACAAATATTTTCTCTTATCCCAGAGGTTACTTTCACATTTTGTTGATGGTTCCCTTTGCTGTGCAGAAGCTTTTTATTTTATATGGTCCCACTTATTTATTTTTGCATTCATATCATGCATCAAATGGAAAATTAAAGATCTGTCAAAATCACCAGTCTCTAATTGCTGCCATTTTCAATGGATTGTGCCTTTGAGTATAAAACTCAAGTCATGCTTAAAACCAAGATGGTAATCTTTTATACTCACCCAACTGATAGAGTTAAATGTATGTTTTTATAAATTAATGTCATTCTGATATTTGTTCTACCTTTGCTGAAAATGTGAATTCCTTAAAGATACCCAAGGGCATCTAGTAGACTTGGTGCAGGTACTGCAGTTATTTTTAGGGAATGTAACTGCAGAATTCCACAGGGAATGGCTTGGAACAACATGTTTCTCTGTTATCCCTATGGCTGGGTATATATAGAATGATTTATTAGAAAGCATTACATAAACTAATTGAATTATATCTCCCATGGGCAGAAAGAAATAGTTTTTAGGCTGCCAAAACTTCCATCTCTGGGGTTTACAAGAATCTTTTACTAAATTAATTAGAAGGCTTAATGGAAAATACAGAAACAATTTCTTTTAAAAAATCAAATTGTCACTTAAAGTTCTTGATCTTTCTGGTTCAAAAATTAAGGAGGATGCCTTTCCTTATGTTCATGACCATTTATATTACTTTGCTATACCCTATTTAATATAATAAAGTGCTTCCCAAGAAGAATTCACTAATTTAATTCCAGAAAATGAAAGAAATAAAAGGCTGGTGTGTTTAGAGAAAAATAAGGAAGCTGGGAGTCATGTTGCAGACCAGGGCAATAGAGAGGAGCTAGACCCCGGTGCTATGTTCATTCAACTTGTATTCAAAACACCATGCCAGGAAATGTACAGGAGTCATACCAGAGCAGTGATGTACTCATTGCAACTGCTTAGCCAGAGCAAACCACCAAACTGGCTAGCAAATGTGTCAGTTATCTCTAGGACAGTTGTGTGCTCTCTGAGGTATATAGTTTAATTCCAAAAAGTTGTCCCATTGTCTCTCTACTTCCCAGAAGAGTAGACATTTATTATCTGAGCTTATTTTCATCATAAAGGAATCATATGCTTTCCTTTTTAGCATTTCTGTTTTTAAAGTAGTGAAATACTTCCTTCAAATAAGATCTTGGAGAAACAGAATATGTTAAACAGACAATCATGCAACTTTTCTATTTGAAGAGGGAAACAGGACTTGGCACCCATTAAAGCCCTACCTTATCCACCACAAAGACCTATGAAGCTTCACAGAACTTTTCAAATTTTGTCCAGTTTTGAATAAAATCTACTAATATAGTCTACTGTTTATAACACTTAAGTTGCACATGAATACTTAAGCTTGTTAAATTGCAGATTCAAGCTCAGTAGGTTTGGTTTAGGGCTTGAGTTTCTCCATTTCCAACAAATCCCCACGGGATCCAGATGCTTCTAGTCTATGGACCAAACATTGAAGCAAGTCTATGGACCAAGCAAGAAAGTAGCCTAACAATTTTATCTTACAAACACGAGTTCAAGCCCAGGGTTGTTAGAATGACTTACCGAGCTCTTAAAGCAAGACAATGGCAGAATATAATCACATAGACACTAAATGTCCTCATTGTACCAAGTGTTGATTTCTCTCTCACAATAATGTCTTGGCTACAGAATTGTACAACTTATAATGTATATTGTAAAAACTTAATAACCCAAAAGTTTACTTGCATTGTAATTTTCACTTGCTATTTTGTTCTTTCTCATATCCTAAATGGTTAAATATGGGAATGAAGTGGTTAAAAGGGAGATTTTGTTTGATAACCAATTTAATCTGACTTACAATGTTTTAGTGTAAAAGAGTGCACTGTTTAACTTTGTTGTTTCAAAAACATCAAACAGGATTCTAAAATATCAAAATTCGAATATTTGCAGTAAATATCAATTTCTAAATTCTTTATTGAAAAAGTGTCTGGCATTACTTCTGGGAAAGAAGGCCACTGAAATACAGGAAAACAAAACCATTGTCTCAGAAATAGCCTGAAATGCACAGATGCATCAGACAGCAAAAATATACATCAGGACTGAAACAAGATACAATGCCAAATTCATGAAACAAACATAAAGAGTTTTTAAAGGCAATATAGAGTTACAAACACATTACAAATGCTAACACTTAATATATACTCTTATTTCCTCAATTAAACAAAATATTTCAGAAGAAATCTAAAGTTTATATTCAATAACTACATAATATATTGTACGCTGACTTGGGAAAATGAGGTGTCAAGCATGGACAAGCAATCCAAAAGATGGAGAACCCATTTCTAAGGAATCTGTAGCTTTGTAAGGGACATGGGCTAGTATTAGTGTTCAGGAGAAGCCTTGATCCCACCTGTTTCACTCTTCTCATTCAGGCTTGAGCTTACTCTTACAAGAATAGTGAAAGATATCTGCCCCTAAATTAAGGATTCAAGATTTATGGGCCAGGGCAAATAAAGAAATAGACAGAGAAAATATGTAAGAAAAATATGTAAGAAAATATTTCTAATAAACATGCAAATATGGTGGGAAAGGAATAGGCCCTGAGGCTAAAAGGTTACACACACAGGTACACTCAAAGGAGCAACAGAGAATTAATAATAATTTCCTAATATGAAATAGTGTATGTTTAACTCAATTTTCTGCATCTAAGGTACATAAATAATTTTTAAGAGCAATACACTTAAGATATCTTAAATCTTCACCAAGAGGATACTAAAGGAATATGGTACCTCCATGACATGTAATATTAATAAGAATAACGTAGAATTATATATGTTAATATAGAATAATCTGCAATGATATATTAAGTAAAAAAACAAGATACTCTGCATGTATGAAAATATCCCCGTTTATGAGACCTCCTTTATTTTAAAGATGTGTTTTTAACCAAAAGAGATAGGTATTCTGTACAATGACTTGTGGGAAACAGTTAACCATTTTCTGGGGGATTCCTAGCCAAACCCTGTAGAGCATACTGGTGAATCCATCATTTATTCAAAATTTAAAAAATGAGAAAAACACTAGAAGATCTTTTGACTAAATCCTTTTAAACTTGCCACAAACCACAGAACCTTTAGAGGAAATCTCAGTAAGTTTGGATACATTAACCTTTTGAATGTCAAAATCCACTATATATTGATTAAACATTAACGAAGTATAGGAAAGTGTATATAATAATTATGATAGACAAAAGGTAAATAATCTTATTATATAAGAAGACCTTTATAAATATCAGCTTGCATTTGAGGAAATACAAATACATGTACACATATTTTTTTCTTTAAGCATTTCCTTTCTGTTTAGAGAACTTCTTTTAGTCATTCTTTTAGATTAGATAAGGTGGTGATAAATTCTTAGCTTTCCTTTATCCTAGAATTCTTGGTTCCTTCTTCTATTCGGTAATCATGTTTTCTTTTTATTTTAGTATTTTACTTATATATTTGTAATTCGAGATAGCAAACAAAACAAAACACTGCTCCCTTGCAGCAGTTATCCTCAGTCTCAACAAATACAGGGAAATGTTTGCTATCTAAACCACCCTTCTCTGTTTCCTTTCATCTCTGTGTGTGTATGTGCCCAGAGCTGAGTTAATTGCACTTTGCGAAACCACAATATCATTCCATACCCAATCATGAGTTTGTTTTTCTCTAGCATTGATTCTAATTTTTCAAACTTACTTCAAATTTTCAGATTGACAAAAAAAAGCTTGCTTGCATTTTTGTCTCTCCAGCCCTAACATAAACTTTGTTTTTTCACTCTTCGAGGAGCTTTAGATACAATAACCTGACCCAGTGTTGACCTGAATGTTCTTTTCAATCAGTACTGCCCAAGTTTCTCAGTTGCTCTTGTCTTTTTAGCCTGGAAAGACAGACTTGGGCATTAATCCATGAATGCCCTTTGGAGGTTGTTATCTGTACATTGCAACATAGAGTTACAAAACTCGGTCAGCTAGGTAAGGTACATATCTATATTTCTCTCTCCAAATAAAACTGATTGTCAGGAGGTATGTCTGAAATTCTTATATCCTGGTTTCCCATAGATATTAAATGTTCAATATTTGCAGAACAAATAACCAAAAGTACATTTAGAGTGTACTTAATGTAGTAGTAAAAAAGGATGTTTAAAATAAAACTCTATTGAACTATAACAATTAATATAGATGGTGAAATGAGAAATCAAAAAGCAGAGAAACAGAATAGATATTCTTAATACTAGATTTAGGAAATTACTGCATAAAATATGAGGCATTTGAAATCTGTAGATAAATAACAGACCTTTTTAGATGGAATTTAGATAATAGTTCTTGGGAAAATAAATTATACTTTTGAAAAAGTTAATCAAATCCCTGCCTTCTTTCATCATAACAATATGTTCACTATGAGTTAAGGTATTAAAAGTGTTGTCAATGCTAAAATTGTAGTAGATGAAAATATAAAAAATAATTTAAATATTCCTGTATAAAAGCACTTTCTAAGGAGAGATGCAAACCCAGAGTCATTAAAAAAAGGTAAAGAAATATATAAAATTTCACAATTCACTAGTCTTACAAAGCAAGAGTGTCCAAGATCTAAACAGTATTTGCAATTTTTCAGAATTTAGTGGATTTTATTCATAATTTTAAATGATATGTAAAAATTAAAAGGCAAGCAAGCCCAAAGAAAAATACTATTAGTCAAAGGCTATGACTAGACATAGCATAAAGAAAGATATACAAATGGCCAATAATCATATGGAAAGTATAACCTAGGAAATCTTCATAGTAACCTAGGAAAATGTAAATTAAAATAATGACATGCTATAGTTCCCTCATCAAATTATTCAACACTTTTTAAAAATGTGTATTCGTTTCGTAGGATGTAAGAAAGCTGGTATACTCATCTTCTCATTAAGTAAGTATAGTTTTTCAACTTATTTGGAATCCTTTTCAGCTATTAAAAAGAATGGGTCAAGACTCAATCATAATGGAATTGTTCCTATGATACACTAGTTAAAACAAAAAGTCACTGAAGTTCATTTTTATGTAAAAATAAACATATTATGGAAAAAATCTAGGCAATTTTAACAATTGTTCTCATAACAGTGTGAGTATTAATATATACAAATTCACTTATATAAACAAATATTTATTTATATATTTCATTCAAAAGAAGAATGCCACATTTATACTATCAAGAGATAGTATTTTAGAGATTACTGCAGGCAATATATGAAACAGCACAAACAAGACATATGACTCATCTGCCACGAAATGTACTAACTAAAACATTTATTTTTCCATGTCATATATGGGTATCACTGTCTAGAATCAAATCAACATAATATCAATGAATAATTAAGTTTAAAAAAAATAATATGTGTCATAAAATGTACTAGTTGAATTACATCTATTTTCTAATTTAATCCCCATGACAACCTAAGAGGTAGTTACTATGATCGCCCTCATTAAAAAGTTAAAACATAATTTCAGAATATAAGTACATAATTTGTCCAAGAACACATAGCAGGTAAGTAGGAAAATAGAGGTCAATCCTTTTTCTCCTTAATGCATTTAACTACCCCATCACTCCCTCTAAAAGGATCATTTGCTGAATATCAACCACATCTTATGTCCAAGACAATACAATTACCCTGCGACATACAAACTATATTTTACTAATGCGGGAGAGCGATAAAAAGGATTTAAGTAAAATATCCATAGCCTCACAATGCTAAAGGCTGTTTTTAGTTCCAATGCTTCCTTCCTTTACCATGTCACTGTCAGCCAGGAAGGATTTGGAAGAACTTCCCATTAACCAGAAAAGCTCATGAGATTCTCACCCACCAAGCACAGACTCAAACTTCAGGCAACCAACATTTCTCAAAAGATGAACACTCCACATAAAATACCATATGTCCATTACATCACATCACATCAGACTCCTGAAGATTGGAAGACAAATCCTAAGAGGACTATAGGTGTTGAGGTTTGCTATATGGACCCACCTCTTGGCACATCCATCTAGTATTTATTTTCCTCTGTGGTGTCTGGATCATGTAATCTCCTTTCATCTCTACACATCTACAGACACCTGTGTATTCTAAGACCAGAGAGGGGGAGGCAGGTGGCAAACCATAAGCCTTCTGAGGTCCTTTTGTCAATGATCATATCCAGGATTTAGTTTAATGAGGCTCCAGATTGCAGAAGTTTATGATAACACAAGATAGAGTGGGGGTGGGGGTCAGAGGAGGTGGAGGCAAAAAGAGACTGTGATTTTTGTTTGGAGCAGCTGAAAATTTCCAAAAAGGAATGGTGAGGAACAGAGTAGTTAAATCATTAATAATTGAAGAAATGGCTCTGAAACCTACAGCTAGTAGTTTGTTTTTTCTTTTAATTTACTTTAGATTTAATAAAAATCATAAAGCTTACGTTAATCTTGATCTCACATCTTGAGCTAGTCCATTCTGTATCACAGGAACGTTGACACTCATTAATGACATCTGTGCATCTGAAATGTAGAATTACAGTTTTAATTAAGTAAGACACTAAAGCATAAATTCAAGAGAGTTTAACTATTTAGAATTGCTCTTTTCCAGTTCAGATAAAACACACACACACACACACAGACAGACACACACACACAACACATTCCCATGAACAACAGAAGGCTGTCTATTCCTGGTTTCTTATCCTTCAAGGTGACTGGACTGAAAGAACAACTCGGCTTTCATTTTTGCCACCTTCTCCATGGCAATGAAAAGAAAGAAGGTTTCTAGAAGATCTACAGTATGTTTAAGGCTGATGCGGAGACTGAAGGTGGCTATGGCCGAACTCCATTGCCATAAGCTACCAATCTTCAGCCTTCCTTCCCTGCTTAAAAGTCAGCGGCAGGACTAGGGGAAAAAAGTAATAATAATGCTGCAAAGGCAGATCGGTGCATCTGAAAGCCATTCTTCTTTGCCACTTGCATCTCCTAGAAATACCCCCACTCTAGATTTGCATAAACTAATTTTCATCCATGAGCAGAGGAGTTATTATACAACTCCATAAAGAGAGCCACAAAATACCTTACATGCACACAGGGATGAAAGAACCGGTTTACTTAGGAACATTTTAAATACTAAGTGTATGGTATCATCCCTCCACAGAGCAAGTAATAGAATGTCTCTTCATTCTACCTGCTACTCCTATTACTGTGAGCAGTTACCTTTAAGTATATTAAAGTCCAATTAATCTGCATTTATTGAAATTTATGCTAATGAGTAGAAATAAAAGAAGGGCAGAGTAAATGTATCAGCACATTGCATTAAGTAGAACAGGCAGCATCTGTCATCTTAACTGTACTTAGCTCTAGTTTTATGAAGGAGCATAATTAAAATTAACTTCATCAACTTTCCCTTGACATTAAGTCTTAAATATTGTGAGTTAAATTTACTTTCTGAGAGTCAATAATAGAAAAATAAAAATAGCTACCTTCCCTGCAGACAAGGATTTGAGAGGCAATCATTTGCATTTGTTTCACAGCGTGCTCTGAAAAAGCCACTTTTGCAGGCACAGGTATAATGATTGATGCCATCTCGACAGGCTCCATCAGGGGGACAGGGCTCTGATAGACATGCATCTATATTTACTTCACAACTGATGCCTACATTAGAAGAAAAAGAGTAAAACGTGAGACTATTTAGAAGCAAGACACAAAAGTTTCTTCATTATGATAAACGTCACCAAAAAATCAAGACTCCCTTCGCATAAAGATAATTTGACATCTTGTAACTGACTAACTAACTAACTAAATAAATAAATAAATGTTTAGATGTGTTTAGGTATGAACTCTCAAACTACTAATTTAATGTGAATAAAAAAAAACAAAGCACAAGCTTAATCTACCTAAAATATTTGTTTTTAGTGTGAGGAGCTGTTTAATGGGAATATTAGGCAAATAATAAATTATATCAAGTTCTCACTATGAATATTAATTCATATGTTTTTTCTTGTGGTGATGATCCTTGACAGTTAAACATTTATTACCTCCAAGAATTAAGAGTTTGAATTTTTCTAAATTTGGTCCTGGTGAGTCTATTAATGGGCTAGCTGAGATTTCTAAATGTAATCTAACTTTGGCTAAATACCTAGTGTTTTCAAAGGCCAAGTTTTGAATATTTATTAAGCACCAACCATGTGCCACCTCTGTGCTCAACTAGAAGTACAAAAAAAAGTCCAAAAAAGAGTGAAAGAGTTACCCTGTTAATCCAGAAACATGTCAGAAAGACAATTTTTATAGATAGAAAATATCTGGAGAAAAACATAAGCAAAACTTAACGGAAAGCTAGACTGTGTTTCTGGTTTCATGTGTTAGAGATATTAGGAAATAGTAGAGAATCATTATAAAATGTTTCGATTAATCCCTTTGTTCATTGTGTCTATCTGTACTGAGCATCTACAAACAAAATCTACCAGTACTGGTATGCCAGGCTTTATGCTGAAGGCTTTACACACATTATTTTAATTAACGTTCATCAGACGTGAAGGCAGATATTAACTTTAACCCGTTCCTGAATAAACAAGGATTTGGAGAGTTTAAATCATTTTTTCAGATCACACAGGCCATTATAGCAAATCAGGATTCAAATCATGTTCTCCCTCACCTATGCTTCTAATTGTTAGTATAAATAGACTATCCAGCAACTACTATGCTGTGTGCACAAGTTATTATGCTGAGTAGCACAATGCATACTGTTAAAAACAAGACAACAGGCCCCAAATGGAGTAACTTATACTAAGCCCCATGTCACCAAACTGACAATTACAATTTAAACTCTCCCAGAAATGGAATTTTAAAGCACTCAATCAGAAATACCCTTATTGGCACTATCTAGGTAATCAGCCTGATGGACAGTTGCCATCCCCCAAAGAAAAGTACAGGCACACCTGAGAGATACTGTGGGCTTGGTACTAGACCACAGCAATAAAGTGAGTATTGCAATAAAGCAGGGCACACAAATTTTCTGGTCTCCCAGTGCATGTGTAAGTTATGTTTACATTATACTACAGCCTAGTAAGTGTGCAATAAAATTATGTCCAAAATATAACAATGTACATAAGTAATTAAAAACATTTCATTGCTAAAAAATGTTAATCATCATCTGAGCCTTCAGCAAGTCATAATCTTTTTGCCTGTGGAGGGTCTTCCCTTGATGTTGATGGCTGCTGAACGATCAGGGTAGTTGTTGCGGAAGGTTGGGGTGGCTGTGGAAATTTCTTAAAATGAGACAGCAATGAAGTTTGTCACAACAGTTGATTCTACCTTTTATGAATGATTTCTCTGTAGAATGTGATGGATGTTTGATGGCATTTTACTCACATCACAGAATTCTTTCAAAATTGGAGTCAATCCTCTCAAACCCCGCCATGGTTTCAACTACGTTTATGTAATATTCTAAATCTTGTTATTTCGATTATCTTCCCAGCACCTTCACCAGGACTATATTCCATCTCAGGAAACAACTTTCTTTGCCCATCCACAGGAAGCAGCTCCTCACCCACGAATAAGAATGTGTTCTCTTTCCCATCATGAGGTGACAGCCACTCAGTCACATCTTCAGGCTCCACTTCTCATTCCAGCTCTCTGGCTATTTCCACCACATCTGCAGTTATTTCCTCTACTGAAGTTTTAAGCCCCTCGATTCATCCATGAAGTTTGGAATCAACTTCCACCAAATTCCTGTTCCTGTTGATATTTTACCTCTTTCCATGAATCACAAATATTCTTAACAGCATCAAGAATGGTGAGTCCTTTCCAGAGGATTTCAATTTACTTTGCCCAGATCTAACAGAGAAATCACTATCTATGGCATCTATAGCCTTACAAAAAGCATTTCTTCAGTAATAAGGCTTGAAAGTTGAAGTTACTCTGAATGGATGTGGTGTTAGCAAGCATCAAAATGACATTAATTTTGGAGGAGAGGGAAGATGGCGGCCCTGTGAGAAGCAGCAGAGCGCCCCCGCTCCCAGCCATGGACTCAATTTACCCCTAAAATCCTACGTAGCCAGCTCAGAAAAACCAGAGAAACATACCTGAGTGGACGGAGAGCGAGGGGGAGCACTGAAGACACATCACGGAGTCCGGTAAGAGAGGGGGGTGCAGGAAAGGGGAGTCCCCCTGAAGCCTGTGCTGGGCCCCGAGCCCCGAGGCTTGGAGGTTGCAGAGCTCCCTCCCCTCGGGAGTGCAGACTGCCTCCAAAAGTGGGGATCCCACACCTGGAGGGACGAGAGGGGAAGGAGCACCCCGCGCACAGGGCAGAGGGGCCCAGGGGAGCGGTGAGCCCCGGAGGAATCGGCGCCTTCCTAGGAAACAAGGCCTCTAATGGCGGACGGCGCCTTCCTAGGAAACAAAGCTTCTAGTGGCTGCTGCGACCGGCGTCTAATGCTCGGGGTGCCGACCATAGGAAAGGCTGTCCCAAGGTCTGTGGCACCCCAGTGGTGAGGGACCAGAGGACTGTGCTGAGCAGCCGCACACGGAGCCCCTCTGCCTCCCTGTGGGGCACTGTGTTGAGCCCCAGAAAGCGCTGAGTCTGCGTGGCGCGGGGGAGGGGAGGAGCCCTCCCACCCTGAACTCCCGTTGCTGAGAGGTTGGGATCTGTGACCAGCCCTGAGGGGCGCCGTGGTGGCGCATGGAGCCGCCCCAGCTTTGTGGAGACCAGCAATGCAGGGAGCTGCGTGGAGCTGACTTTGGGTCCCCCCCCACCCCGCTGGGAGCCTTGGTGCTCCGGCGGCAGGACCTTGCAGGGCGGACTCTCTGCTTGTGTGTTGCTTTCTGCTTCTTTGATTCTGATCCCTGAACTGGCTCCCACCTTCCCGCGCGGACAGACCAGCGGAGGCGAGGATTGGGGCCTGCACAGTAGACGGTCTGAGGGGCGGGCCTGGTGCGACCAGCCAAGCAGAGCTGAGCAGAGAGGGGCGGAGCCCGCCGGCCTCTCCAGCAGCCGGGAGCACCGCCCCCAACAGGAAAGGGGCGGGTCCCGCTCACTGAGGCCCCAGACACCCTGAAGGGGGGGGAGAGCAGCTCGCAGGAGGAGTTTACAAGAATAAGACTCTCAGGGACTGTTGTTTGGAACTGGAGAGAACGCTGAAACCCTTGCTGGGGGCTGGGCAGGCAGAGGGCTCACTGGAATATTTTTTTAATGGAACCCACTGAGCCCAGGCTGCTAAAACGGCCTGTACAGAAAAGGCAACAGGCTGAAATCAATCTGAAGCTGCAGCAGGCCAGAGCCTGGGGAACTAGAATCAGAGGACAGGGTAGGGACTGAGGAGCTGGTGGTGGAGCAGAGACTAACTCCTGCAGAGTGAGCGCCTGACACCAAAACCTCTAAGTAAGGGGAGTGATACCCTGAGCTACACTAGCCACCCTGCACCCTAAAGACTCTACAGAAGATTCTGGAGCAAGACCAGGCAACTACAAGGTTGCAAAATAGCTGACAAGAGGAGGTGGCCCACGGAGAGCCTCAGATCAATCATCTACCTAAGGACACCAGAGCCAAACCTGGATGGCTCCTCGCAGTGGGTGATACACAAGCACCTCCCAGGAGAACGGAAACCAGCACACAAAACAGTGAGCCTCAGACAACATAGACTGCCCAGAAGAAACCCACCGATGGACTATCTTTTTTTCCTCCGTATTTTGTTTTGTTTTGGTTTTGGTTTTTTTATTTGTGTGTTTGTTTGTTTTTTCTCTTTTTTAAATTTTATAAGAATTAAAAAAATTTTTTTTTTTTAAAACCATCTTTAACTAAATGTTTTTCTCTTTTTTATAAAAGAATTTTGTCTTGCTTAGCTTATTTTTAGTTTTGTTTTGGTTACTTGCTTTGTTTTGTTTTATCCTCGCTTTTACTATCAAGACTTTCTTGATATCCCTGCGTAATGACTGGGACTTTATGATTATAACCAAGTTTACTGCTTTCCTCTATAGTTTCCACCAAATCTCTTACCAGACTCCCTCCCTGCCTGGGCTTAAGCTCTCTCTCCTCTTGATCCAATGGCATAACTTTTTTCTTTTTCTTTTTTCTTTTTCTACTTTTCTTTCATTCTTTTGTTATCCTCCCTTCTGTCTTCCTGTATTTTTGTTTGATTGTTAGTTTCTCTTATTCTCTTTATTGTATTTTTGTTTTCTCATTTTCAACTATTATCCTATTCCTATTCNAAACCCTTAAAAAGCATGAGGACAGTCTAAGGGAGCTTTGGGACAACATGAAGCGAAACAACACTCGCATTATAGGAGTGCCAAAGGGGTAGGCAAGAGAGCAAAGGATAGAGAACTTGGTGGAGGAAATAATGATAGAAAACTTCCCTAGGCTGGCGAAGGAGAAAGCCACACAAGTTCAGGAAGCACAGAGGGTTCCAAACAAGAGGGACCCAAAGAAACCCACTCCATTTACCATTGCAACTAAAAAATAAGATACCTAGGAATAAACTTAACCAAGGATGTAAAAGACCTATATTGGGAAAACTATGTGACACTGAAAAAAGAAATAGAGGAAGATTTAAACAAGTGGAAGAATATACCATGCTCATGGATTGGAAGAATTATTATCATTAGAATGTCCATACTACTCAAAGAAATTTATAAATTCAATGCAATTCCTATTAAAA